CTGTGGGGGGCTCCGTCACCATCCCATGTAAAACCAGTCAGAATGTTCATAACAACAACCACTTAGCCTGGTACCAACAGAGAGATGGAGAAAAGCCTAAACTGCTCTTTCACTATGTTGGAAGTCGAGTTTCAGGGACTCCAAGTCGTTTCACAGATGGTGGATCTAACTCTGACTTCACTCTGACCATCAGTGGAGTTCAGGCTGAAGATGCTGCAGTTTTTTTCTGTCAGAGTTTCCATGTTATCAACAGTCAGCATGTGTTCACACAGTGAAAAACAGTCGTACAAAAACCTCCCTCAGTCAGACTGAACAGAAACTGAACTGACAGCTGCAGACTGACACAGTTCACTGATAATCTCAAACCTTCTGTCCTCTCCACATTAAAAATATGTTCTATATTTCATTGTTTGTTAAAGATACTTTCCATCTATTTATTCTCAACTCTAGTTATTGTAACAAAGACAACTTTAAAAGCATAAGGACAATTTGTCCACAATCCGTAGTTAAGACTGGTGTAGATTACAGAAATCGATTTTTGCACCATGAAAATAAAAAAGTAGAAAATATATTATGTATTTTTTATCACCATGATTAAATCTATTGTCTCGACTTCGACTGGAACATATCTGGACTCAGCCATCCAATAGATCATGAATAAATCTATAGCACTGAGAACCAGGGAATTAGAGGATTTTAAAAACATTCAATATTTTCAGAGTTTGTTATGATACATTTAAAGATTACTGATTATGAGCTATTTATTCAAACATTTTAACTGATAATTCAGGCCTGCAACGTCGTTTCACTTAATTTATCAAACATTTTGGTTATTCCCTTTAAAGATTCAAGTCTGTCAAACATTGCTTGAGAAAAGATTTTATCTTTCTTCAGTTCTGTAACTATTTCAGAACCTGATGATGAACCAGTCTGCTTCAGCTACTTTTGGGTTTTATGGAACTGGTAAAGTCGTCTAATTTATTAAAACAGAAATTAAAAACTGGTATTCATGATGAGGTTTTTATTGAATTCAGAAAATTTCACTCACAATTGTAACAAAGCAACAATAAAAGATGCAAAACATAGAAGTTGTCATGAAATAAGAGACAAAAGGACCCTGTTGTATAGTAGAGATTTCAAAGAGACAGCATCTTGAGTATTAGAGTCCCAGTGTGTCGGATCAAGACTGGGAACACTGGTCTCTGCTCAGAGTCTGTGAAACTGG